TAGCATCCGTTATTATATAAGTTTACACGTATGAAAGTATAAAAATAGCACCTTTCGCATGCACAGTCATCAAAAGTTACAAAATTATTCTACTCTTATAAGTAGAAAAGGCAATGTAAACTTATGTTAAGAACATTAATTGGCAGACTTTATGTTAAAAAAAATTGACAAGGCAATTAAATAATGATACCTTGCAAGAAAAAAAAAATTCACGTAGAATTTAACTTTGGGCCCGCGGATACAGGAAATGAGCTGTGGATTGATGAGCAAAATTAAGAATAAGGATCCTTAACGATAAATTAGACCAAGGATTCTTCGAACATGTTAACATATTTCGATATAGTAGTTCTTGTGAATATACCGTAGTAACAATTTCTCCAACTAAGGCGTTGAATATTCCGCATGAACACCAAATTTATATTCGAGACGCATTAGGCACCCTAAAAAATGAATAACGAAGGTACAGCGGATGAGACCTGAAAGCATAGAACATGCACACCTTATACGTATCTACCTCATATCTAAAGCTATGGGAATTAGTGAAAAAACACTAGAGATGCTACCAGGTTCTAGTAAACTATGGCACTCACATATTGATTTAATCTATGAATAATCTAGAGGGTTTTCCAGATAATGATCACCAACGGACACTGTGTTCTTCCCCCTGGCGCACTTAAGTGAAAGGTACATACGGAGGTCGTAATAAATGCGCGTATAAATGGTCCTCTGAAGAAAAGACGCAAGAACTTTAAATACAATATCAACATGAAATAAAACTTAATACCAAGATAATTCACGCAAAATTCCTGCAAAACAGTATACTTTTCCAAATATCGGCACCACATGGCAACTTATGGCAAGTCAGTAATTTGCATTTTTACATTGCGCACTGATGGGAGGTAAGGTATGTATAAGTGATATGAAAATCTGCTCCATTACATTACTATTCTATGGCTAATTAGATACATATAACAGCAAATCGAAAAATATCAGATTTTATTTCTTATATATTGTTTTTTTTTTCAATGGAACTATGTAGCTGGTATTGTAGATATGATGACTTCAATAAAACCATGCAGCGTTTCAAGTCAATAAAAGGTGATGAGGTGATGAGCGCAAGTTGAATGAGCATAAATACCGGATATTTCAGGCCTGGCCCGAGGCTTAACACTGAATACTACGAGTCGCAATACTAGACGTCTCTGACATTTACTGAAAAAAATATATATATATTGAGTAATCTCTTAAGGAATACTGATTTGTTTCACGGCATTACGCGGGCAAATGCGTACCTATTACTGATAAGACACCATTACCCTTAAGATATCGGCTACGTACGTAGTTTGCCATGCATAAACACGTAGTTTGCATATTAAACGTAGTTTTCTATGCATAAACAAGTGTTCGGCAGGTACAATCGTAAATTTGAGCAACACGAGTACAGGAAAACATCAACGACGTCCTTTGAAAATATAACTAATTCCTGATTATGTAGCTGCAGCGACGTAAGATACCTAAGAAAATGGAAAGCACACAAAAACATGGCAATGACAGCCAAACTAACTATACCAAAAGAAAAAAAACGTATAGCCCTTGGACACGCGAGATACAACAAAGATGCCGTTGTTGTGTCCTGTTCATACTCCATTAGCTGTACATTAAGCAAGCCTGAAAAATATCATGATACTTTTAGCCACATTCCCTACATCCTACGAGAAAAACCTGTTATAACCACAGCATGAAGGCAGTAGTAGTTAAGTGACATTCAAAAATATGCGCATACCACTCGATGGAGATTAAATAGGTGTTTTCCTGATAACATTCCTACAATTCTCCTTGAATGATAATTAGAAGACCAACTTGTTCACTAGTTACGATGCTCATTGATAACAATTATGATCATGAACAAGACTGAGATAATGGTTTATCCTAATTCGAAAATGAAACTTAGAACAATACCACATCTGTTGTTTCTACAATGCAGAACTGAAGATGACCTGAGTAGAGCAAAAATTTTATGGGCATAACCGAAGATTTTATAGGCTTAACTGAAAATGTTATGGACAGACTAAAATATGGTATTGTTATTACGCTAAGCGTGATGAATAAAGCAGGAAAAGTGAGTATTGTCTAAGGAAGAAATTAAAGGTACAGAAATACTAACAAAAAAAGACAGTATCAGTAGCGATGAAGAAAAAAAAATGACTAGACGTTCACACAATAACAGGATCGTTAGTAAATATGTATAAGTGCTCACATAACAGTGACAAATAACTACAAATATTTGCGCGTACAATGCTTAGAACACCAAAAAATTTTCATTACGTTTAAAGCAGTTTTTTTAATTAAAAAGTATTCCTCTATTAATAAGAATACCTTGATGCACAGACAAGATTTCATCTAAGGACAGCAAACACTGAAACTAAATACCTATAATAAATCAAGAAAATAACATTTATTGTTAGCCAACAAAATGAATAATTAAAGTATACAATAATATTTCCAGTGAGATATCTAATACTTTCAGTATATTCCCCAAATATTAGTGTCAATAATTATTGTTTTAGCTGCTACTCAGTAATAGTGTGACTCTCAGAGCTGCCATAATAAATACAAATGAGTGATTGTAGTTGGGGCATCTATCATGGATATTTAGACAGAACAAAATCACTCGGAGAGTAAAAAACATTCATGCAATCTCAATAGTAAAAACTCTTACTTTCTTTGAAATAATTATACAAATAATTATGAATGTAGCAGTGAGACGACAAAACTGTGGCCAGTGCGGTGCATCAAAGAGGCAACAAAATATGAAAAAACTAAATTAACACATCTTTGTTCTACACAAGTGTGTAAAATAATTATCCGTATTAGCATCTAGAAAATTATCACGTACCGTACCACTTTAATTAATAGCTAATGTGATATTGATTTAATGAACTAGGTATAGTTGGACAAAAGCCAGTACAAGAGACAAACAATAACGATAGGGAGGATATGACACAAGGATGGATAAGAATAGAAATAATAAGAATAGAAATAAGAATAGAAATAATTGCAAGGTTGGGTTATGAAGATGTACAAACTGGTCATGCAGATGTTCCACATAAGCAGACAAATAATAAAAAATTATACTATTTGTTAGTGCAACCGATAATTCTAGATCAGATTTTGATCACATGGAGATATTTAAAAATAAATATCATATTATAAACACTCAATTTGCGTACCAATATACATTGGTACGTAATACATTCATCAGTATTTTTGTATACAGGCAGAATAGGAACGCTAGATTGTTGAAGAATTCCCGCACATCCAATAAGAAAGGAAGAATATACAATAATAAAGGAAGAATATGCAATAATAAAGGAAGAATATACAATAATAAAGGAAGAATATTCAAGTTTTAGTGCAAATAACAGGTGTTGAACAGAAACTATCCTCGAGAAATACGCTGTTGCGAAGAATCTACGTTGCTGAACTTGAGAACTTTTGGCATATAAAATCTTGTTCACAGAAGATTCCATAATGTCCAATAAAGTGTTGAGAGTGAAGACAATATCACAGTCTAACCTGAGTAGTTTGGCACACATGACTGGTAATCTATACGACATACGGTACCTATACTGAGAAACTAATACTTAGAACCTGGAACTAAGGAATCATAAGATTATATTAGAGTTGGAAAGGTAATAGTAAAATCATAATTGGACCCACCATATGATGTTCAAAATTGGAATTATTGGAACTATTAACATCTCACTTAACAGTAGCATGTTTCTACTTAGATTGAACAAATTGAAGTTAGATTATATTCCCTCAGAAATGCTAGAACGAGTAGTTACATATTAAAGAAAACATCAAATTAAATGAAAATTCAAATTCAGCATATTCATTTGAAAGCCTTTGCCCTACATATAAATAAGCGCTTCAATTAATTTAGCAAGGCTGTGAGAAGAAATCTACTTCCTGCAGGATCTGTTTATGATGCAAAAAAATGATTATGTTGGAACCTAACCTATGGTAATACTGATTTGGATAAAACTCGGTGTATAACAGTGAGTGATGGTATGTTCAATGCAAAAAAGAAAAAAAAACAGTCAACCAGGGTTCCAAGATGGCCTAAAAAATGGCCAAGTCCGCAAATAAAAAGGCCAAAAAAGGCATATTACTCAATGTATACTGGTATTTTGTAGGTTACAGTGTAAAAATTCCATTTCTTTTTTTTTTTTGCAGTTTTTAACTTTGATTAAGGAGTGCCCCCTATCATAAATTTTAGTGGGCTGGGCCATTGCAATTGAAAAAATAGATGTGGAATTTGTCAGGAAAAAAACTGTGTGGCAACAGATTTTGACATTTTGACAGATTTGTCAAAATTAAATATCTCCATTATGACATTTTGACAGATTTGTCAAAATGTAAGAAAGACTTTCATTATATTTGGCATATTATAGAATATGCGCTAAAAATCAAAGAAAGTATCCTGAGCCAGAAGTAAAACCTGAATAATATCAACTGAGATTCAAGAAATCTTGAATTTATAATGAAGAATGTAATTGCATTCCATAGCTCAACAAACAATAAAAAATTCTGTAGATACCTTTTTGTGCACAAATAATTCCAGCAATTCTACCAGTTACAGGAAAAATGTCATCAACTGTAAGTATGAAATGCCATCAAGGAACTACCTAAATTAACATATGGAGGAACCAAAGTACTTATTTTTTGTATAAAATGAATAAAAAATATGAAAAGGAGACAAAAGATCAGAGGCTATTTACAATCAAGGTTCTCTTAACACATATATACCCTTTATCCCCCAACCAGAGAGCACCATTTTGGCAATTCAGACATCCTTGCATCAAATTTAAAATCAACTATAAGTTGAACCAGCACAAGTTAATATGGCGTATAGTAAGTGGATCAACAATTTAATCTCAATAAATATGAGAGACGATTCCATGAAGAACAATTGAGTATTTTAATCCAAAACTGAGGAAAAAATCTCAGCTCCTTGTCTTGTTCAAACAAAATTTCTGAGCAAGAATTTGTAACTGAAAATACATGATGAACAAAGTAATGAACAAGAAAAGAATGCTCAACAGTTTGGGTATATTGCAAGTTCAAGGTTGTGCAGATATAGGTCAAATTAATGATAAAATGATGGAAATAAATATTTATAATTAATTTTACTTTTATGCAAGATTTCATGCTCTAGATTTCTGTGCTAAGGAACTGTACTTCTGTTTGATAATGATGCTAATGAGAAGTGTTGATGAGAACTATAAATGAACCAGAATTGCTCCACCCTTGCTGGATATCTCATGCTTGAGGTTTCTCTGTTGCAGGATGTTCAGAACCATTGGTTTGAGTGCTGAGACTCCTTGATTACTGTGCATTCCTCTACCAGTGACTATTTTCACCATTTTTGCTGAAGTTTGGGAGTTGCTGGTATGGTGCGCACCATGAACTCTAGGCAGCACAGAGGCGCCACCAACCATGGTTCCAGTGCTGCTGTGGGCACGCAGGAAGTTCCGTGTGATTTCTCTCGCCTCATTTACAGCTAATCGGTGCAGATCTAATGTTGGTATGCCATCTTCAAAAGAAAATAGATCGCTGGAAGTGAGGTCTGCATGTTTGAAGTGAAATATATCAGATGGAGAAGGGATGGAAGGTGGTGCTGTTGGCTGTACCGGCTCAAAGTGATGTCCATCTTTAAGGGCAACTGCTGCTTCCAAATCAACATCATCAGAGACGTGATGGAACTGAGCAGTCCTGAAATCAATAAAAACCTTGATAACGCATATATAAATTTGAAAATCATGAAAAATATAAGTTATTACATTTCAGTTACAATTTCACTGTTTTAGAAGGAAATTAAATATTACAAATTCAATTTGAGTTGTCTCTTTTTTTGACAAGTAACTGAGACAAATTTTAGTTTTCAAATTCAGAAGCAATACAGTTAATTATTTTTTTAAAATCATATTTGAATAAATGCTGGTTTATAAATTTAGTACATTTTCAGTGCATTTTTTAAAATACAATTGAAAGAAATTTTTATTAAAATGACTGCCCATAATCTTGAGGTTTTCATGACTGCTTACCTTCTCTTGCAGATGCAGCAGTCATACTCAGAGTAGAAGTAGAAGCAAAGTGCAAGGATGAAAATCCCCACAAGAATCACAGCTGTTAAAAGAGATCATTTTGAAACTGCAATGCAGTGCAGTATGAATAAAAAAGTACTGGCAACATACAATAGTATCACTCCAAAAAATGTACATCATGTTTCAACTTTTCATTCACTAATGCTACTAATCAACAAAAATAGTATTCATAGATTTTATTTTATAGCTATGAAAAATACGACTTCTGTTAATGGCTCAAAAATTGACTTCAGTGAATTTAGAGCTTCAAAATTCATTTGCAGCACAGATAGTAAATATATAAAAATAGATATTTCCTTCACCTGACTGGAAAAAAATATTTTTGGTCAAAAGAAATATTACATGCATGGATCTTTCCCAAAGCCAATAAAAATTGAGTTGGCATTTATGCCATTTAGCAGATATTGCACATGCTGTGTAACAAAAATGGTATGATGCTGATGAAGGATATCAATTGAAGCATATGCTTCAGAAATAAAATACTGCAATTGGATGTTTAGATGATACTAGAAAGTGTTTGTTCAATAGGGTTCATAAAATAGCTTTTTAATCGAGGCTGGCAACCAAGTGTTGCAGCAAATTATAGGTCATCAACATTAGAAGAACTATGAAGATTAACATTAAAAAATAAACTTTCATGTAAAATACACAGTTTTCTTTAAAATTCAGGTGTTTGAAAATATTTACTTTCCCAGCCATAAATAGAGTTTTCCTGTCATTTTTTGACTTTGTATGCATAATATTTCCATAAAAATAAATATATGTTTGTTAAAATACATTGATAATAAAACTTTAAATTTGACCATGACTGAGATTTCAAGTTTATCCAAGTATCAAACTATGTGACTAAGGTTAGGAGCATAATTATTCTAGTAATAGCCTCAAATTTTCTTATCATGCTAACATTAGGGTATTAAACATGGAAATTCACCTATGAATAAATTTCAGGATTGGAATTTTCCTACTTGTTTCTGAAAAGTGAAAACTTGTGGCTCCATCATGATGAATTTTTAAGATGATTGGAATCTTGCAGCCTGATCATGCACTTTTGTTAACAATTAGATAGGAGGTTTTTCATTTGGCGGAAATCTTGCAGTTCCAGAAATGGAGGGAAACCTCTAGTCGCTGCCCTAAAGGTACAGGTTGATGTTTTCCACGCTTGTGAAGTTGTGAACAATCAATACAAAAACACTTATGCTTGTAGATAATCTTACTTTTGTGATCCAAGCAAAAAAATTGACAGAATGTACCTATATAAATTAGAAAATTGGTAAAAGCAATAAGTGATAGAGGAGACAAAAATGCCCTGCTTAGTGGGTTAGTTAGTGCTTGGGGTAAATTTTACCAAGTTCTATTGCTCTTGCTTAATTTTTTTGGTTATAATAAAGCAAAATAACAAACTTTTGCATAATACTTTTTTAAAGATAACCTGCAGAATAATTATTTTTAGCTTAATTTTTGAAAAATTTTGTCTGATATTCCAGGTTGGCCTTGGCCCACACTCAGGATGATGTATGTTTTCGGTGAATTTTCCCGCATATTTTCACTTTTTTTAAGCTATTGCTGTGCACAGTTGGCGCAATGTAATGAAAATTGATTATCTTCGCACACGTGTTTGCGCAATCCCGGCCATCTTTATTTTAGAAGAAATTTTCTCCAGTCATATGGCAACACTGAACACCGTCTGTTTACATTTCGTATGTATAACAGCCGCAGTTTACGATTACCGTACATTCCGTATAATGTTTGCGAAGTGCAAACCGCGATTTTTTAATCAAACAAAAATTTATGACATTCGAGCCGCGAGATTTCATACCTACTGAAATTATATGATATTAGAGCCGCGAGATTTCATACCTACTGAAATTATATGATATTAGAGCCGCGATATTTCAGACAAAATAGGACTTTTCCAGACTAGGCCCATAGGAGATTCCTATTTTCTGAATGGTAAAACATAACATATTTTTCTTTTAGTTTTTAGAAATGCAGATTTGCACTACCAGAGGAGTGAGAGGAATGGCAGAGGTATTTTAGATCTCTTCTGATCTTTCTCTTATATAATTTATAATAAAACTGAAAGATTGAGTTCTGAAATTAGAAGTCTATGCAAAAAAATAGACAACTTTAAAGCCATTCGATTTAATAAACGTTTAACATTAAAAGTCTTGCATTTAGACAGCCAGAATACAGAGCACTGAGCCTGAGAGAAGATGCTGTGAGACAAAGTCGAGCCTTTAGTCGGCAAAGAGTCAAACTGTCAAAGACTGTGTACCTATCCATTTCTGAAAATCGTCAATCACAGCACTGAATCACTCGATCATAAATGATGAATTCCACCTTAACTGAACGGCCATTCATAATTTCAATATTAATTACCAGCCTTTGTTTGATTGCATAGAGACGACCAACAAAATAATCATTATACTTACAAGGTATCCAGATGAATTGTAACATTCCGTTCAAAATTCAGACTAATCTGTGACAGATTCAGATTCAGACCTACAACACGTACTAAAACCGACGTTTGGCGTCGACTGAGTTGTTGACATAAATGCTAAACAAAATCGGAAGAAGTCGGAAAACGGATGAAATTACAAAAATCCGATGAGAAATTCAACTGGGATACAAAATAGATGGTACACACAAAAAATAGGGTTTCACTGATGTGCTTCTCCCGATCTTCTCTTGTTATATTTGCTACATAATCTTGTCACTCGCCTGTTCGTACCCACATTTTTCAAGAATTACATAGGCAAATACAAGTGGAAGCTTAAAAGCATTTTAAGCTAAATACAGCCTAAACGTAGCTACATACAGGGTCCACCAAAAAAACCTCCCTGATTTCAATAAGCTTCTGCAAATCATACGACACATACAAAACAATTTATTTTATTTTTGAATATCCTATTTGATGCCATTGTACATCATTTAGTGCACTTTACTTGGTTTGGAAACTTATGTTCGATAAATGATGTCCCCCATTGTTAAGACATTCACGAAGTCTTTCCCTGAAGTGCCCATAGTTTTTCGTGTAACTTTCCCTTGGAATAGCTGCCACTTTCTGCCTAATGGCATGTTTTAGTTCTTGCAGATTTCTGGGACGATATTTGTACACTTCAGCCTTCAGGTAGCCTCACAGAAAAAAATCACAAGGTGATAGGTCGGGTGACCGTGGGGGCCAGGAAATGTCTCAATTGCAGCGTTGAAACTCGGAATGTTGATTTCTCTTTCTCGAAATAAGTTCGGAGAGCTGCCCGCTTGCAGCGTGGCTCTAGCATCAATGAAGAGTGTGGTGTGTGTTAAAAGTGTCCATAGTTAAACTTGAAAACATCAATCATATCATCTCTAAAGCTGCGACCTCGATCAATCATATCACCTCTGATTCGCTAAACTCAGGAGCCTTAGAGCTAAGACAATCTTCATGCTCTAGTTTAACTGTGTCTCTTTGTGGCTGAAGATCACACTGATATTTCGTTGTCGAAGTTAGGTCGAATTATGTTTTTGAACAGTGGTTGCAATATGACCATTTGATGAAAAGCGTTCTAGCAGGAACAATGATGTAGCGGAGCTGGCTTTACTTTTTACCGTTACAGAGCGATCTGGAAGTCAAAGAATTAAAGGATTGGAAAACCCGTAAGTTTAACAGTCAGTGTCAGATGAGTGTGTCCCTGCAAGCTTAGCTTTTGAATGACGCGTGTCTGGGCTCGTCAGAAGTTCTCTGGGATTTCGCGCTCCTTGGGGATTGTTCCTGAGCGCCCGACCACTGAGCTCGCGATGTCTGACTGCAGGTCTCAGTTGTGGGGTCAAGTTATTATGTAGGTAGGATTCCTTACATTTGCCTTCTCTGTCTCTCACGTGCGGGCGGCCGACGTCCCGTGTAAGCGACCTCTTGTTCGAGTGTCTTAGTTTCTGTTGCTTTGCACCTGTCCCTCCTTGCCACCTGTCCCTCCTTGTCACTTCGTCTCTCTGAGATGCTAACGCTGCTTCTTTTCGCTTCAGCGGGCTGGGTATCTGAGACCTTCCGCCCCTTGTGGGTGATGATTAATTTGATATTCTGAGTGTTTGAGGCCTTCCGCCTAGCTGGAGTCAGTCCTCAGGTTGCTAGGAAAGCCAACCAACCTGACGGAAACTCAGGTTGGTTCCGTCAGTCCTCGGGTTGCTCTGGAAAACTATTTTCTTCTGCTTGATTCTCATTGTCACGCCTTCACACCTTCACAAAACCATCCGCCCCCTTTACTCCTCTTAATCCTTGCTACTGCCTATCTGATTGCTTGGTAAACTCCCTCTGTAAAAACATATATTTGTTGGGCTGGAGCGCTCTCGAGAATGGTGCCCACAGGGAGCTAACTGAGTTATATATGATGGCTCATCCTAATGGCGCCACACATTCCATCGCCACTATCAAGCCTGTCTCATTGAAAATTTGTTATTTCATTCATATAGAAATTTATATTTGACCTCAGCTCTCCCCTGAAATCCTTTGTAGCACGCGACGGTGATAATACTATCCCTGAAGCTCACTTTAAATTTGAAATGAGATTGCTAAAGCCCTGCACATGTACAGACGATGCCGCTGGGCCATCAATATTGCTCATCAATCCTTTCTAGCTGCTCGCTGATTTTTTGGCGTCAGTCTCAGGCGCACTTAATTGGTGATCGGGCTTGTAGATCATATCCATATTGTAGATCATAGGTCTCGAACACGCGCCTCGTAGCTCTAATCTTAACCGTCCGGTCACCTTGCCGATTTAGACCAGAACTGTCACTGGAAGTAGGGCTAAAACCCGCAACTCACTGCTTCAACTTCGGTGTCCTGAACCTAAACCACTCGGCCATACTGCCGTCAAAATATTGGATTCCTTGTCGTACAACTAAATGATACATCAAAAGTGGGTCAAGTGAAGACTTGGGACTAACCGCTTTTCCCTCCGTGTTAAAGATGTTTTTGAGGAAGTTCGGTCATGTACGGTTAGTAGCTTACATCACTTTCATGCGTAAACCCGTTCGTACTAAAATAGATCAAATAAACACTCTCATGCAGGAAAAAATTCCTACACAATTTAAATTTTAAACAGCCCAAATCAGAATTGCAGGTGAATGGTCAGTGTCAAAATGTTTCCCCGATCTATTACCTCTTCCAGAGCGATAATACCATCTACCCTACACATTAAAGATCGACAACTCCAGCAGGACTTAATCAACGTGATTCTGGCTTGCCCGAATCCGGATAATTTGCTAAACCCTGATAGAAAAAGTACCATTAGGTACCATGATATTAAAAAAATTCTCCAAACCTTAAATTGTAAAGTGTCATCGAGCATATTCAAGGAAAAATGAGTTCAAAATCAAAATAATCACAATTCTAAAATTCAATTACCATGATGGTAATTTTTATAAAATTTATAAATTAGAGCAGGTAAACGGAATTTTCAACATTGCAACAAACAAAAAAAAAACAAGAAACAATGTTAAATCTTCCTAAAAAGTAATTTTTAACAATATATCAAGCGTCTTTACGAACGATGCAGGAGCTATGGATCATTTTCTCCCGCACTGAACCCACGATACAAGCAGAAGCATCGAAAAACAATATATACACCTTAAATGCGATACAAATATATTTGCAATAACTTGTACATAAAAATACTTTTTGCAGATCATAGACATGTATAAAAAATCTACATATGAACCCTTTAGTTTTTCTTCTTTAATCTATTCTCAGATACAAATGAAATTATAATTACCATTCATACAGTTCAAATCAATCTGTGTAATCTGTCTTTCTATTTAGACGGTCTGTACGTTTTCTCGATGTCCTCTAAACTTTTAGCGAGAGTTTCAGGAATGAATATTGTTCCCACAACTGCCATGATGATTCCATCGGCAGCATAGATCCAAAAAGTTCCATGTGAGCCTATTTTATCCACCATAAATGGGTACAGATAAGATACTAGGAAAGCCCCCGAAAAGAAAAATACATAAATAATGGGAACGCCTACCGACCTTATTGCTGTAGGCAACAACTCTGCCCGTAAGAGTATCAAGGCAGGTTCAGCGATGCATGTAAAGAAAATGAAAACCCCCATTGAAGCTAAAGGGAGCCACTGAATCTGCGTGAGTACGACATTCATTACTTTCAAGTAGAAGTAAAGTCCCATGACGCTCATGGCTAAGCTAGACAGAACTAGGGAGCTTATCAACAAAGAGCGTCTCCCTATCTTATCAGCCAAGGATATGTACGCAAGAACTCCTAGGACCCGCACAGCTCCTACTATGATGGTACTTGTATACCCGTCGATGTTGCTCTGGGCTGACTGGAAAATAGTCACCGAGAAAACAATCATGGAAAAGTTTCCACAAAACTGATAAGCAAAAAACATGAATATAAGAACAGACATTATCTTTAACACCGGACGCTTTCGAAGTACCTTCAATTGTTCTGCGATGCTGGTAGTTTTGCTCGTAACTCGAAGTTGTTCACTAATATCCTCGAGTTCTACATCAACCGCGTAATTTTTCCCTCTGTAGAACTTAAGGGATTGTCTGGCTTCGGGGAATCTGGACCTTGTGGCTAACCAACGAGGAGAGTTCGGCAAGAATATCAAAAATAAAAACGGAATTATGGTTGTGGTTGCACCACAGACCATGGCTGTTTGCCGCCATGACAATCCGCTGCTGCCAACAACGTAGACGAAGAGGAAACCTAACTGACGAAGAAGGTCTACCAACCCAGTAAGTCGTCCTCGCACTGAGGTGTGGGAGATTTCTGCCACATAATTCGCTGATGGTCCTCCGTAAATTCCGGAAACAAATCCCAAAAGGATTCTTGCTACCTGGAGGAGCCAAACCGATGGTGTGAATGCCAACAGAAACCAGCCAACTGCAGCCAGAGGTAGAGCCACCAGGAGTGTTATTCTTTGTCCAAGGAATATCATAAGAGGACCACTGGTGACACTGCCAGCCATCGCGCCAATGTTCATCAAACTGCCTGAAATGCGTAATGCAATAATTTTTAATGGTGATGTTGTTTTAAACAATATTAATAATAAAATTTTTCTAGTTAATCAATTGCTTTGGACAAAAAGTCGCCATAAGACTCAGGAAAGCTCATTCTCATTCGTTTTTTCAGTAAGAACAAAGACTCGCACGAGTAGCAACATCCGTAAAGAAACTCCTAAATGATTGATTTTCCGTGTCAAAAAGGTGGTAGTAGTGAGTTTGTAAATACGCAAATGATACATAGTCAATAATTGAGGTTGAACAAAAGCCTACGTTCAAGAGAGGGCACGTTATTAGTTGAGGTTGAACTGATGGATACGTGCTGAGGAGGGCACGTTATTGATTGAGGTTGAACTGAAGGATACGTGTTGAGGAAGACGCGTTGTCAATTGAGGTTGAACAGAAGGATACGTGCTGAGGAGGGCAGGTTATTGATTGAGGTTGAACAGAAGGATACGTACTAAAGAGGGCCGCTTGTTCTGCAGAGAGGACCAGGTCCGATGAGTTGCTATTCGTCATCTCGGGCAAGACTACACCCGACAGTCCAACGATGGCTCCGAGAGCGAAGTGAATCAGGGACCCCGCGATGGCCCCGGCAACCTGTGCTTCAAGAGTGCAAATTATGTACATTAATTACTGGCAATACTGTTTACATTGAATTAATTATAAAACTGCAAGATTGGATGCATGGCCGCGACAGCCCCGTAGCCTGTGTGTCAAGAGTGCAAATTATGTAAATCAATTATTGGCAATACTGTTTACATTGAATTAATTATAAAGCTGCAATATTGGATGCAAGGCCATGACAGCCCCATAGCCTGTGTGTCAGGAGTGCAAAAGATGCATGAAAAAAGGAAGTACGCTTTATTATGGATATTAAGTACAAAAGTGCAACAAAATTGGATGCAGGCCAACAGAAGAAACCATGCAGTTTCTATAACCTGTGAGTCGAGAGTACAAAATATGGTATCAAAATTAATGATAGTAATATGCTTTATTATGGGTATTAGGCATAAAGAGACCACAAAATTGAACGAAGAGCTGCAACGGGCCCAGTAAACTATGTGTCGAGACTGCAAAATATGTTTATCAATGATAAACAATAAACTTAACAATGAATTGATTACAATGATGCAACCAAATTGAAAGCTGGACGACGATGGCCTCAGCAACCTTTAATTGTGTCATTAGTGCTAAATGTGTATATAAAAATACGCAATACGCCTTATTATGGATGTAAATTACAAAGATGCTATAAAAATGGATGCCCCTGGCAAAATTGAATGCTGGGCCGCAATGGATCCGGAAGCATTGGATTCATGAGTGCAAACTATGTATCTAAAATATAGGGAATTCACTTTATGGATTAATACGAATATGAAACAAAAATGGACTAGGGAGCAAACCACTGTTCGTTGTACTAACGTTAGTTCTGATGGAGTAAATGGAAATTATAAATTATCGGACTCTTTGTCTATCGTTGTGTAATATTATAAAAGATTCAAATATTGCCTGTAATTGAAAGAACAGAGTTTATTTTTAAACAAACAATCTTGTTTTTGATTAGTTTACACTTGGGAATCTCACAAAATAAAAAACCACCTCGCGTGTGATAATTCAAGCGTATAGCTACCGTGACCCAGACAGCACGCGTTAGCTTCTGGTGATCAGGGAGGGAAGTGATACTCTGAAGGTCAGATCTCAATTACGTACAATTAGAGTTTCTGACGTACAATAAGAATTACTGGATTAGTTTGAATGAATCAAGGCCAGAAACTGTAATTCTTTGGTGAATTACAAAACAAACTCAAATTTGTATATTAAGTGTTTTTTATCCACACCAGGTTTATTTTGCTTATTTGAATGCATTTAATATCTCAATTAATGTTGACATTTCTCTAATAATTTTCACTCAAGCAATTTTTCCATGATACGTTATGCATTACAACTTTAGATTGAATAATCTACAATATTACTAGGCTCGTTTTAAGTCTGGTGAAATTTCAGTACCGACAGAAAAGTATTTAAAGTGGAGACATAAAATTGGGTTTTTGAGCCTAGAATAAACTGTTACTCTATATCAGTTATACTTGTGTTTCTTTTGCGTGAGTATAAATTACTGGCCTTCACTGTAGAGAAACTTAGCTTCTTGTTTTATTTTCTATTTTTTTGGCAGGTGTCTACAGTGAAGTGTCTTTAATCTAAGCATCCCTCAGACTAAACGAAAATTCACACTTGTCGCAAATCAATGTTTTCATCTCAGGTATGAACGATCGAGGCCAAATAAATCAGCAAAAAACATAATCATCGTCTGCCAAGAGCGGAGAATTACAGTCCGTCAGTCGCGGCAATCAAATTTTGGATTGAGCAAACATAATAATTGAAATAATAAAACATTAATTGAAACAGCTACTTTTAGTGTCATGACACTAAAGTGTAATATATAGTGCATTGTAATGCAATTTAATGTAATTGTTGTAATGTCATTTTAATGGCTTAAGTGTCATTACAACGGCTGCGTAAATAGGTTTATTTGGACTTATTTATGTTTGTCACTTCCATAACTGTTATCTATATTAATAATAATCATGAATATTACTTAATTTTAGTAGAATTGAAGATGAATTAGAAGCATCACATTACGCGGTATTTAAACTCTGTTGTGCTTAGGATAGAAGCCTTTCGGGAACTTATCACCAATATGCAAGCAAATAACATTTAACTAGTTGTTCTCAGCTAAAAAATTGGCTCCTTTATCTCAATTTACGATACGAACGTGTTACGCTTTGAGACGTGAATACCTTCCATGAACACGACATTTTCAGCTTTTTGTTGTATTTTATATTATGGATAAATGCGCTGCTGCTAACTTTTTCAGCATTGTTCACCTCGCAGTTTGATGAAATGTAACAAGTCTGCGCTTGGAGAACAACAGCGTAATTAATTAAGGCGTAGAGAGCTATGAATCGCGTACATTTTTACGCACAACAAAACTGCGTCAAGAATTCATTAGCGAAAGTAAAATAAATGCAATTGTGAGGTCGCTTGTATAGAGCCAGCGATTGATGCATGGTCAAGGCTGCGACAGTCGCATTTTTCAAAAGGCTGTGGTTTCTCCTTAGCAAGGAAGCGTTCAACTTTCCGGAAAGAAAATAACATATGAGTAATGATTTTGTGTCGGAAACATTCAATTCGCTCCAAAGCTAAACGGCCTTGAGGATATATGTAAATTATGATTAACAAGGCGGATTCATACTTGCCTACGATGCTCTCCATATGTGCCGTTTCTGTTATTTGTATAAGTAAAAGCCACCCTACTTTAATTGTAATGTTGCATAATCGAAAGCAATGCATTAAATCTGTACTAAAAGTCTCATTAAATTGACGGAAAATTTCAATAAATATTATATATAATACGTAAATGTATTTGGTAAAAACACTGTAACAAAAGTTTTAAAAGAGGATTAATGCACGGACAGTAACGCGAGTAGAGATTTTCTGTCTATATATTTTCGAGGTGGTAATTCTACGTTTTTAAAAGCATGTTGTGAAGAAACTATCATCAAATCTGATGACGTAACACTGGTTGTAGACTACACTCGTGTTTACACCATTAGCTACGTGCGTAATACTCACGAAAGTACTAACAATTATGAAACTAAAAAGCAAACATTATTGTCATCATTATTTAAGTCAAACTTTTTATAAAAAATTCCACAGCCGTACAAGTTTGTACAAATAACATTTCTACACAGCCGTTAGCAGCTTTGAAAATGTTCGCAGCTTCAGAAATGGTCTCTCCTTATATGGCATTTACGCAGAGCGACTAGGGATGTCATGACTGGCAGAAATTATCGGCCAAGGTTTCCCTCGCTTTTTACGACAGATTAGCTCTTTTCAACTTGCTCTGTAAAGTCTTAATCTAAAAGAACCTGCGCAGATCAGCATGGAATTTTTTAACTCTTGGTGATCCCATCAAAAGAAGATGACCAGGCAGAATTAAAATAATTATCGCGTTGCAAGAAATGATCTGAATTTTCTATACAGAGATCACAATGGCGATCGTTCGTTGTTGCTGGATTAGAGCACACGAACCTGCTGGTGTTGCACGCAAGTTTAAACCATTTACACACATTATTTCAATTCCGAAACTAAGAAAATATATTTAAAAGAATAATGATGGTCACGCACCTGATTTTGTAGTGCAGGCTCCGCCTGAGGCTCTGGTGGTGGGGTTGGAACAATAGAATTTAGTGAAGCTTCCTGCACTGTGGTCGCCCTGCCAGCGATGATCCTGTCGTCACCGGTGTGGCTTTTGCTTGCGTTGATGGACGTGTTGTTGATGTCATTGGTGTGGTTTGTTATGACTTTGTTAATTGTGTTATTAGTGGTGTTAATAATGACGTTGCTGGTGCTGATACTAGTGGAATTGGCGGTGTCAATACTGGAGCTACTACTGCCATTATTAGGGTTATTGATGGTCTTACTACAGTTGCGGCTGGTGTTATGGTCGTCAATAAAAGAATGGTTGTCATAGCTCGCTGTCGTTCGGCTCGTAGCGTTCTCTAGTTTATGATAATGGTCAGTAATTATTATATTATTAATGAAATTATCTATAGTCTGGTTAATATCATGAGTGATGATGACATTTTCAGTGTTACTGGTATCTTTACCGTGGAATTCATGTCTATAAATGTTACTGGAATTTTCAGGATATTTTTCCATACTATGCAGATTCGGATCAATGTTATTAATGGTATTAGTGTTAATGACTTTGTCTGTTTTCTGGTGACAGTAACTTTTACTGGATTTGGTAGTCGTTGCATGGTCGCAGTTGTCATGATTAATACAGTTCACTTTCAATTCGATGCCACAAATGTCACAGATGAAATTCCCGTCATTCCCACACTCGCTTGTCTCGTTATTAGAAGCATTGCTCGTGGCACAATTTTCTTCGCTTTTGAAATTCGAGACGCTGATTACGGCCTGTCTTTCCGACATATTTTTGATCGATGCTAATGTGTGTATAGTTGGTCTAGAAAACGTTCAGTCACTTTTTCATTATTTATGTCAATCATTCACCTATTCCATTTATGAACATTTTTATTAGTAGCTATACCTACAGAAAGAAAAAAAACATAATTTGGCGTGTTGCATATTAAGAATGGCAAACGATCTCCGGAAAAACTGAAATGGGAAACAGAGAAAAATTTAGCTAATGCATGATGAAACAAATGTCGATTACATAAATGGAGGTTTTATTGGAGTACATCACAATACAATGTTGAAGTGAATATCAATAGTTTACTGCACAATACAAGAAGCAATTCATACATTATTCACTAAAATCAGAAAAATACACTCGATCATTCAGAAAAGTATTTTCCATTTCTCAATGACATTTCACACGGGCATCATGTGCATAAAATTTTACATTTAATATTCAGCATTATTATTGAAATAAATTTGTATGTATTTATTGATAGGGTAACATGGGGCTGAGGGCCCACCCCTTTTGCAAACTAAATTTTTGATAAAATTTTAATTGATACGAGGTGGTTCTTTGTTTTGTTTAAACTAACAACTAATGAGGAATGTATGATGGAATTACACGCCTATAGAGTTCTATTCAATTTTTAATGAAAAAATATTTGTAAAAAGAGTCAAAATGCACCCATTGCCCCACCCCTGGGGCAATGGGCCCCATGGACTTGGGGCAAGGCGCCCACCCCTGGTCACTTTTCCCCAATTGCATATTTTTTGTTTTTATAAATAATAAAACAACACTTCGCAGTTTAAAATAAGAAAAATGCAATAAAAATATATCACATTAATTCATTTATTGACAACTTAAAAATAACATCCTTAACTTAAAAAATATATATTATTGGCTTCAAAAATCTATCATTGACGTGAAAAAATATTTCATTGACATAAAAATATATATCCTTGACTTGAAAAATATATCCATGCCATAAAAAAATTCGTCCATGACATGAAAAAATGTATACTTGACTAGAAAAAAATATGTTTACGTGAGCAGAAAAAACTTCGTTCCAGTTTCCTCCATAATCCAGATATTATGTGCAGGGAATTCGTACTTAATTGTGATTTCAGCCAACACCGTAAAAACTCATCAACTTTTAGCTCATTGGTGTTGGCTGAAATCAACTTTTGGCAAGGCAAGAGTCAATATCTCGATAAGGGGTCATAAATACGCATAACTAGAAACTAAACCTGCTGCCTTGAGGCGGCAAATCAAAAAAATCGTACAAATGAAGTATAATTTGTAATTCAAAAAGCTAGTCATAGTTTTGAAGAGCTCATTGAGACACATCTCATGCTGTATAACACAAGACTTCACCATGGGCGCTTTGCCCCGTGACACGCGTGGGCCCGCTGCCCCACTAGGTATCATTTCAATTTATATCGTGTCAACATTTTATATTTAAAAGCTAATAATCTAAACTTGAACTCAAAATTATCCCTATAAATAATACTTTCAAAATATAATTCACAGTACTTTCAAAAGCATCATATAGAGTGATCGAAAACAGTTTTATTTAGCAGAAAAAAAAACTTTTATCCGGGCTAAAACAGCTATTCACAAATAACTTAATAACGCAAACCCTTAGCAAAACGTAAATCCGTGCACTTCATCCCAGTGAAACTGTCGACCGGCGGTAGAGAACACGGACCAATATCTGCCATACTTAGCGAGAAACCCGCTATGGGCCCATGACCCGCAGTGGGCTCGCTGTCCCATGTTACCCTATTAAGTAATTGCCCTAGAACTTTTATTGCATGGGGGGCTTCAGAAAGTAATATATATTAAATATCCTTCTCAAATGTTTCAAGTGCCAGTGCTAGTTATTTTTATTTTGCTCAAGTTCGCAAATTTATTTATGTTAAAAAACATAGAACAACTATACCGTCTATACCTGTCATCAAACTATTCCTGGAAAGTTCAAGTCGATGCCGAACAAAAATATTGAAGAATTTCAACATTTGTGTTGGTAAGTATTTACAAAATTAAATACACGAACAGCATTTAAATAACATTACAACATAGAATTTTGTGAATTTTAAATCACAGATCCAATTTTTTCCGCGAAGTTTTGACAAAAACTTTACTGACTTTTAAAAACACTGCTATTGAATGCAGTACTTTAGCTATAATTGTTTTGAAAGATTAGTGAAATCACTTTTTTCAGATTCAGTGAACACGCTTGAGTATTTTGAGAAAATTCTATTAGGAGAATTTGTACGCTCATTCACACGTGTGACGACGGGAAGTTCTCAGTGAATCGTTGAGCTCGAGAAGAAAAAATCGAAACGGCATTTCAAGTTCAGCAGCGGATTTGGTTCAGAAAAAATGCGAGTACATAAAAAAGGCCATTTTGTGGACGGAGGGTAACCTTCCTGTGACTTTGAGACTCTTTTTTAAGAAGGGTTCTTGTTCCCCTTTTGTGCGGTGGCCGGTCGTAAGTTTTTTAGATGATGAAGTTCTAGGAAGCGCTTAACGAAATATGAACCATGTATTGGAAATTCTGCTGAATATATTTTTAATGAGTTTAAATGTGATGGCGTTATTTCGTGTAGTTTATCAAGTTGGCATGTTTCTTCATTATCACAGTCTTCTGCACGTATTATATAATCAACAAAAAACTCACATCACGCACATGGCCTTTAGTGATATACTACCACCAAAATTTATATTTTTTATAAATAAAATTATCATTGTATGACCAGTAATGTTTTAATTATAACAACAATAAAAAATGTGTGGGAAAGCATTTTATTCTTTATTGAAGTTATTGTAGATAAATTATGTCGCTTACTCGTTGTGAAAGTGAAAAGTTCGAACAAGTTTTCATATGGTTTTGCAAACTTTAGATAACCAATAAAAATTATAACTTGAATCAGTACCACCATAAAACGTAATTTTAGTCATGGCTGGAGGCGGATCACATTTAGCACGTCTTACCTGGAACGCTGCCACAACAACTCTGACGTCAGAGGCTCGAAGGTCCCCGCTTATATAGGCAGCGCTTGCCTCCGATGATTGCATTACGATTCCAGGAGCTGCTCGTTCCTGTTCTTTGTCTGGCAGCTCAAACAGGCTTGGGTTGAAGGTGATCCTTCATCCTTCACAAGTACACGTTACTTTTTGCCAGCATGAATTGACGGCAAGTACATTGGAAAGATAAGCCGACAGTCCATGTAAGTTTGGACTACAAACACGTCTGTATATAGTCGTCGCTTGGGTTAAATAGCATTTTTGTTATCAGGTTTACTAAAAACTTTTCGAACGGCTGAGTAGTTCACTACTTATGGGCCTGTACAAATTGATTAGAAACTTATCTTGATAAGTCTGCTTTCACTTCGGAATCCAGCTATTTAATCATTTATTTTTTTTACGATCTCTAAATATTTTGGTTCACTGGTAGTTATTACATTTTATGCCATGCTTCTCTCTGAAATTTCAGCAGTTATCAGCACTCGAGAAGATTTCGAATGAATAAACGAGTATAAAAGATATTGATTGAATGTTAAAAAAATCGATAAAAGATATCGATTGACTAGTTTTCAAATTGAAGGTAAATAACGAAACAGCGTTTGTACGTTTTTTTTACATCACATCGCGGACACGGAAGAGATATGAACAATCAATGCAATAAATAAGGGATAACGCTGTTAGATATAAATTGGACATTATTTTAGTTATTCATTATATATGTGTGAAGTCAGGCAGGTAACACGGGGAAAAGGGATAAAATACCAGGTATTCATTGAAGGGAAGTATTTTAAGGTTAGTTCAGTTGGAAGGGATGTCATTTATGTATAAATCTAGGTTAAGGATGAATATGGACAAGGATTAACTCGGAGAACGAGATTTAATTCTGGTATTTGATGATGCATGGAAAAGGGGGCAAATGATGATGCAAGGGGATGATGCAAGGGGATGATGCAAGGGGATGATGCATGGTAAATAGGTATCTTGGGTACGATATAGGAAGAATGAATGTTAATTGATCTGTTTAAAATACGTAAGGATTCATGATAATCGAAGTAACCCTCTTACTTTTTGATCAGTTTAAAGAAACACCGAGACAAAATTTTACGTTCTTTTTTGGGGCCACACGGACGTACATTATTATTGATAGTTAAATACATCGATCGCAACCTTTTAATGAAAAGATATCAAAATGAGAATGTGCGTATCAAAACACAAGTATACTCATTTTACTTACTAATACAAATTTAATCGAGAATTTAATCCATAAACTAAGTGATTAATGCCATTCATTAATGATTAATAATGATTTTCTGATATTTTTTGAGGCTCAAGACAAGACACTTTTCGTTGCTCTCGTTGTTCAATTTTGATTTAACACGTAAAATGCGGATAAATTCATGGTGCAGATGTTGCGAGCATTTTCACTAAAATAACGCATTATAACTATTTGAAAACAATTCGAATTTTAATCGAATTTCAAGTTGTCAATTTCAGATGATGAGTGAATGAAGCTGTGTTGACTCAGATTCATACATTATATAAAACAACATTAATTCATCTAAGAGGCTTTGCAAAAGTAAATACAAAGTTCACGTCTCATCCAATATTTAGTTACCGAACTATTATAAGAGGGAAATATTCTACAATATTCTAGGGCAAAATTACAGAAATAAAGTTAACTTAAATGTATCGTCTATTCTATTATGTACAAGCCGGTATGTAGAAATAATCTAGAATATAAAACGAACAATATTTTGTCTACCTATGATAATAAAATTTCCAAATAAAGCATAGCGAGGATAATGCGAGTATACTAAATAATAGCACTCATATGACAGTTTAAGTCAAGACAGGGTAATTGTTCAAATATCTTTACCTGAATTTAATGTTGCGGAACATAGCATTGTTTCCGAGAAACCCCTAGCCTAAAAAAATTAAAATGATTACTTTTATGAAATGATATAAGAAAATTGCTATAAAATCAAAGGACTAATAAAAATTAGACATTCACCATACTAACACTGATTCAATTGAGGGTTAAGATGAAAATAACTTTGGCTATGTTGCACATTTGCAGTAAATGTCTACTGATAAAAATTTCCTCGATTAAAGTAACAATAATTGCACTGAATTACGCTGGACAGTTAATTAATTAAATGCATCATAAATTTTCAGTTTCAAAAAATTTATGATAAGTCTTGGTCTTTCGTTCGATTTCATTTTGGAGCGTTTCACATTAAATGTACATAATTTAATTATATTAATTTTAATGTACACATTAAAACCTTTCCTACGTTAAGTTTTCTAACCTCAAGTCGCACATGTTTCATTAGAATTACCAAAAGGCTTTACAGGTAAGCTTAATATTCTCGCGCAAAAATATATATATATGTATATTTATATTTCTATGATCCTCAGTATAAACGACGAATTAGAAAAATCTAAAACGATTTATATAAACCGAATTCCGATTAAAAAAATATTTAAATATATGAGCTACAAGTCTTTAAGGCTCTCTAGTATCGTGAAAAACATGAAATCGATTGAGGAACAGAAATAATAAAAATCCCGCACGATTTAAACGATGACGGCATAGACGTAATGGAGAAACTTCCATTATATATTCTATGATATTCATTATTATTCATTATTATTCATTAACTTCTCAGCTTGCATGGACACTCAAGTTAGAAATACTTACAAGTGCTTATTATAAAAGGACAGCTCCATCCATAGTGAAGGCATCACTCGAGACGCTATAATCTTGTTCTCGGTTGTCAAAATTTTCATAGAATCACTACAGTATATTTAAATTAGTTCCAATAAAATAGTCCTGTTCACATTCAAATTTCTTAAGTCTGGTTAACACCTGAGAAAATCTATACACTCGTAGCCTACGTCAAATTTTTCAACAACTAAAGAGTCTTCAACAAAACAATCGAGATTTTTAAAAATCATCGAAAAAATAAATAAAACAGCCATCAGCAGTGAATGATGATATCATATTAAATTGCCTTCGGAACTCTTTAAAAAAGAATAATACATCGTCATCTACGAAGCAGTGTGTGACGTAAGTTACACAGTGAAATAAAAACAACCATTCTAGCAACGGTAAATTTCCGAAAGTTCTGCACAACACTCTGCTTTATAATGTAAACTGTGAGCGCGAGTTTAACAACTTGCAGCCGAAGGAAGGATAACTTATAACTTCAATTTGAAGGATACGCAGCGCTCAATACTTACGACGATCCTTCCACTCATGATCACGACGGTCGTCATCAACATCCCTCTGGTGTCGGTGAGAGTGATGGTGATGATGGTGCCGACGTTTCTCGGGTCTGGTGTACATAGCAGCGACGTCATTCACAGTCATTTCAGATTCATCCCTAAGGCCTTCATGAGTCCCCGAACGTGTTGACCGGAATTCTCCTTCATCCCCCCGACGATGGTGATGGTGGTGAGCTTTTTCTACATCACGACCTGGATGTACAGGCTCCCCGCTGCTGTCTCTCAGGTTATCCCAAGCCCGTTTGTAGTATTTATTAAGCCCGTTGCCCTCTGAACTTGATGCGTCCGAAGACGTCGTAACGTCGTCCTGGCGACGCATGTACTTCTTAGATGACGTATTTTGAGATCTGCCGAAAGAAACAAACTGTTCTGAAATAAATTCTAGCCTTTCTTGTCAAAGTAATGTGATACACATTCGATAACCTGTATTTTTCAAAAATTAATTTTGAAAGTGTTGGGCACAACCAGCAACCACAAGCAAATAACTTGAATATCCCAGGAAAGAATTCATTATTAATTATTGAAATATTACACAACAATGATATCAAATGTTAGTAGGGTAACTCCATGCAAGCAAGCGTCTTAAATTAGTGCGAATGTTTGAGAAATTAAATAATAGTGTTTTTTGTCCAGTAATAATGGATAGTTGTATATACGAGAATAAGCATATACAAAAAAATGTTTTTTTAAATTTATTATGCATGAGTTTTAATCAATAATTTAAATCAGGACTTTTTTGTTAGGTCAAAAGGTGCAAACTCATGATCCGTTCATGGAGAATTAAAAAATTTGAACGTCGAACTTAATGCAGGAATAATAACACCAGTCCCTGGAGAAATATGTACCTAAATATAAAGTCTTGTAATTACAACATTTTGAACGTCAAAATTGATCCAGTATTTTTAACATCCATCACCTAGGGAATATGTAATTATGTATAAAATTTTGTAATTCAATTCGAAAAACGCATGGTATAGGTGAAATGCATACGCCAAGCCCCCGCTCAAAACCAATTAATGCGTTAGTCTTGAAGTGGTAAGTGCGAAAGCGTGGAATGTGTGGCATTCCCTATTTCATTTTATTAGTAAGACTAGACCAATCACATATCGTATCATGGACACCTGGAGAAATAAACTAAATAATCGTCTGAAATCTGCGTAGAAGTATCGCGCACGAAATGAAATGAATAGAGAGACACATTTCTTTATAGACCCATAGACCCTTTGGAGATAGCACGAGAAAACGCTGCAACCAATCAGAAATGGAGCATGGAGCAATAATGTCAATTTTGTCGCATGTTTCGATTGTTTCCGAATAGATGAGGCAAAGCAACCAAGAAAATCCAGCGTATAATTGCTTCAAGGCGGCCTCTTCCCAAAACAGTTAGTCGTCGAAGTTGTCGTACCTCTGCTACGAAATTTAATCGGCAGCGTTGGCTTTTACATCGCGCTTCGACATCTTATGTTAGTAACTGGAAGAGTAGTAGTCAGCACATGGAGCCGCTCTTGGTAGTAATTCCCTCCTGCCAACAGTCACGTCAGTAAATGGCAGAGCCAGAAGTGTATTCCATCGTCGGTAGTGAAGTGGAGACGGAGTATCGGGAACGTAATATTCCACAAGCCGATCGCCAGACACACTGGTCAGCGATATGCGCATGCTTCAGATTTATACTGTTGTTTTCTTTTGTCATCAAATATAAACTGAGAGTCACATGCTTTCAAATCTGAATGGTTGGTAAAGAAGAGGAAAAAATGCCTTTCAAAGAAAATTGTCGCAGAAAGTTTGGGATAAACGGCTCTTAAAGAGAGATCAGAACGTGGATCAGGCAAAATAAAGCTTGGTAGGAGAAAGATGTCTTGAAAATTTTTGGATGTTAAGGGATCAAGGGTTGATAATGCGAAGCATGTGCGAGCAATACAAAAGCGTAGGTTTGATTTTAATGGAAATACTACAAATATTTTGGTCCAGTTTCGGAGACAACCAGCACATGGTTACTCGGCCCCAGACGATAGGGGCATGCATACATCAGGAAAGAAAAACATAGAAAAATTGCAAGAGAAAAACCTATTACTCACTTAACGAATCCTACTCAAGAAAATTCACGAGAAGAAGTGTACAGAACTGCGAATGCTATACTTTTATCACATATAAATATTTACTTCGATACGTAGTACAAGCATGGGAAGTTTACATATAGAATCGAGTTTTTTATTAATACAGTCACCTCCGTCGAATAAACGGAATACTTTGCATCCATACTAAATGCAGATATGCTACTGAAGAAGCTCACAACACAATGCAACGAAAAATTTTCACGCAGAATAATAATTTTTCGCTTCTATTCCGTCGCACACAATTTCGATTGTGTATCATTCGGGAATTTAATCAGTTTGGTCAAGAATAGACGTTTCGAGAGGTGTAGAACGAGATGAAAATTGTACCTTGTGGTAGGTATGAAAGTATAGCATAACAGGATACAATGAATCTCAAGATATTTCAGCAGGTCTCCATTATCGACGTCCAGACAGGCACTAAGTAAATTAAGCAATATACTCTAAAACCTGATTTAAATTTAGTTTTTACCTTTTGACAAGAATCACAATCGTTGTGACGATGGCCGATAACAGAACAACGCCACCGAAAACTCCAAGAGCGATGATTCCACCTGTGGATAAAGTCACAATGATTGGAATACAATCGGTATTACAATGATCATAGGGGAAAAGAGTGATGGTGATTATTAAAATCGTCGAGCAATTGTGCAAGTTGGTATCAATTTTTATTCACAGAATGGTCCTGATAATTGTTGAGTCCTACAAATTTTAGATTTTGCCTATTTATATTTAGGATCAACTTCTACTCGTATAACCCTCAAATCACAATCATTGTAAATAGCGAAATTAGAAAGTATTAATTTTGAGTCCTATCACAACAATAATCTACTCTTTTTTTAAATTTCTTTAAATAACGGCGAATTAGAATTAGATTTCACATGAAATTAGATTTTGTTGTCAACATCTAATTTTATAAACTTTTTGCAATTCAGAGCCCGACTTAAAGAAGGCAACTTAAAGCACTGTAATCTGACCGTTTTTCAACTGTATTAACGCATCACTTCGCCACTTCATGCCTGCTTTAAATAAGGGTAGCTTATAATACGAAAGTTTTGAATGACGTGAGTTGTCTTATATGGAAAAGTTATACTATACCAAAACTTATTGGTTCCTTATGTTATATTTTATATAATAAATAAGTTAAATCATACAAAGACTTGTATAATAGCAAAGCTCAGGACGTAGTGTGACGCTCCACATACCTGTTTGCATTTTAGGGCCCATCTCTACGGTGGCCCCCGCACCCTTATAATTGGGGGAGTCGACGGCGTTACCGCGGCTGTTGATCAGGTCTTCGTTGAGGGCGTCGTCTTGCTGCGACGGGATCACCGTCCCCGGGCGCCCGTGGGAGCCATCGGCAATGTTGTCGTCCACCTGCAGCGCATGGAGGGTCGACATGAGGGCCGATGGATCAACATGAGGACCATATGGGTCAACATGAGGACCTAATGGGTCAACATGAGGACCATATGGGTCAACATGAGGACCATATGGGTAAACATGAGGACCATATGGGTCAAAATCAGGACCATATGGGTAAAATTTAGGATCGATTGGCGAACACAAGTACCCATGGCTCAACATAAGGACCGATGAGTTGACATGAAAACCGATGGGTCAAAATGAGGGCCAATGGGTCAACATCAGGACTAATTGGGTCAACACAAGGACCGATGGGTCAACAAGAGGGCTAGTGTGTCAACAAGAAGGCCAGTGGGTTAGTATGAGGGCCAGTGGATTAACAAGAGGACCGATATGTCAACATGAGGGCTGATGGCTCAACATGAAAATCAATGAGTTCACATGAGGACTGATGGGTCAACAAAGGACCGATGAGGGCCGATTGGTCAACACGGTGACCGATGGGACAACGGGTGGAAAAGTTACATTGAGATTTTTTGTTTCGTGAAGTAGGAAATGGGAAATATTAAATTTCTGTCCTACTTTACGAAAGCATTGCGTATTCAAAAATATTATCTTACCCGATTTGTGTGTTGCACGCTTTCATCGCTGAAATCGTCTTCAAGGGAAGGCTTAGGTGCATCGTTCGCTATAACGAAAGAAAGACAGTGGTCAGAACACGCAATTTATGAAATTTAGCTGTCAATAATTTTCTTATCAAAACTCGACATTTGAAATTTATAAAAAATTAGCAAAAGAAGCTAGTCACGACGTTCTTGGGTGAAGTGCAGTCGTGAGAATGACAGGTATTACGAACCGGGACAAAATTACGATATAATTATTTTTTTTACGAATTCCGAAATTAAAAATCTGTCAAATGACCGTATTAAAATGCTTTTACTTGCTCTCAATCAGAAGTTTCTAAAAATTACAGAACGACACGACTTCGTGACTCTCAATATTGATGAATAATGATTGAAATGTTAATGGCCTTTCCTCACGTCTGCATCACTGTGACCTGCCGTGCCAGATCTAATAAAAAAAATCCCCTGAAATCTCCGTATTTTAATCGCACCAATTTTCAATGAGGAGGATTTATTACTGAAATAAGAATAATAATCAAGAGATTGAATTAATAATGAATTATTTGCTCTACTGTTTTCACTTCTGCATCGCTGTTGGCTGCCGTTCAATCACTTGTCATCACAGGTGATAAGAAATTTCGGGTTTATCTTACAATTTTATCTATTTAAAATGCATCATCTACCAATTAGGAAGATTCATAATTGAAATAAGAATTATTTGTCCTAATTTCCTCCCGTCTGCATTGAAGCGGCCGACCGTTTCATCGCATGTCATCACAGATCATCAGAAATTTCGGGTTATCTTCGAAATTTCTTTATTTAACTACCAATTAGTAACATTCATAATTTAAATAAGACTTATTAGCCGTAATTTCCTCACGTCTGCATCGCGGTGGCCTGCCGTCCCATCTCTTATCATCATCACAGGTGAGCAGACCGCGGTCTATCATCGTGTAGCCCTCATCACAGGAGTACTGCACACGGCTGCCGTAGTGGCGCGTACCGTTCACAAGATGGTACTGGCCGTGACGGATGGGAGCTGGGTGGCCGCACTGGATGTCTGTACATGGTTAAATCATTTTAAAGCGTGTGAAATATGAACTAATTTATGATATCATGCGATGAAAACAAATTAGGGGAAGAAACAACAAGTACTGGATATCAGATTCATCGAAATGTATTTGCATATATCAAAAGAATTAACGTAATGTGCCAGAACAATCGGTTAACATGAGCTTTAGTAGAAAATGTTAGCGATAATTACCATAAAGTGGAATCATTATAGGCCAAATATTTAAAAACAAAAAAACAAGCACATTCACCTTATCATCATCATCTACTTGGCGTTCAAGATAATTAGATGAGGATAAGGGGAATTTAAACTGCCGTTTTTTCCCTCTTAAATTCCTGTTGTTCTTGCGATTTAAACAAATTAAATGATGCAAGTAATGATTAACTTACATCTGCAGATGGGAGGAACTCCATCGAAGAAGCCAGACTTGAGACACGTACGTTTGGCAGGCCCGATGAGCACGTGTCCGGGATCACACTTATACTCGACCTCCGTGCCTACGACGTACACCAGGGGCTCCATGGTGGAGTTGGGGGGCTGCTCGGGCTTGCCACATGTTAGAGGCTCTGTTGAAATTATAATTAATATATATATATATGGGTATAATTAGTTTTAGATGGCAGAATTTGTTGATTTATACGCGTGCGATTATGATTTATACGCGTGCCTTTCGATCTACCAACGTCATCTGAAGAATTGTCCGACTCTTTGATAATTTAAATCAACGAATTCTCTGGTCTTTACTCGCGCGCGTATGGATATAAATATATATGTGGTTATATAATATACATATATGGATATAATATTTTGTTCGTCGGTGCCGTTTTTTAAATTCTGCAAGGGGTGAGATGATTTATTCAAAATTATATTACTTGATTTTAATTTGTGGTCTTTAAATTAGAGATCGCAAACAAAGTCCATGAAAGTTTTTTCCTAGATGTAAGGATATTGATGCAGAAAAACTGACGATACGGACAAGAAACTAGCTGGTCGTATTTCACAACAACTCGAACTGAATAATGTCAACTACAACACAACTACAACTCGAACTGAATAAAGCTCGAACTGAATAATGAATGGTTAACATGTTAAAATTGAATAATGAATGACTCACGATGCTGGCACATGAAATGCAGATCAGCCAAGCAGTTAGTGTCCGACCAGAGCCAGCCCTTGGTGCCATCAAACCTGGCGCAGTTTTCGTCCCCGCCAGGCAGGTTCCAGAAAGACACGGTCACGTCGCGGCCGTTGATCCACTTCCAGCTTGTTGCATCCTCAGGGTTACGTATCGCTCCCATCCAGTACTGACCATTGGGATCGCCGCTGTCGGGTTCACAATTAATGGATCAATCAAGTGGAAGAAGTGTTCTATATATTCCCATATTTTTCCTGAGTTATTGTGAGAAAAATTAAAACTATGCGTATGATTTATTCAATCTACTACCAACCATGCTGTGCACTTTAGTCCAATTTAATTCTAGGTTTTTCATAGATTTCTTCTATAGCAGTTTGTGATTCTATTTTCTTCTCTGAAGCTGCCTCATGACATTGACCACTAATCGCTTTAGTTGTTGAGTAAGCATGGAAAACATTACTCATGTTACTCACCGATGCCTCATCCAAAGTTCCCAGCTGAGAAAGCCTTGCAGCGCAGGGTTAGTCTCGTCAATGAGAGACCCGCCTCTGTCTCTGCACGTTTCGAGCGCGTCATCGAAGTTGAGAGCGAGGTCGTTGTAGAAGATGTAGCACTTGCCGTTGTAGGTAGCAGTGCTGCCTAGCGGCTGGCCTCTAAACGACGGACATCTTTCGATGGGCAAAGCCTGCGACAGAATGTCAAAGTGAGTAATTCATCGCTTAGCAATTTATTGCTTTTTGAGGAGCCTGCAAAGGAGTAAAAAGTTAACACTTCATTGCGTTTTGATATAAAATGTTAAAATCTTGAGAACTTTGGATTGTGTGATATGGATATATACATAGCCCCCAAAAATTGAGTTCACGCATTTATTACGAACTAATTTTTCGTTATTTTACGATAATAAACTTAACAGACATTGTTAACTCATACCTTGCTGTTCACAATAATGGATAAAATAAAGAAATAAAAAAAAATCCTGGATGTAATTCAGTATAAATTTCCAATGTGCCTGGGCCTATACTTTCAAAAAGTGAAGAGATCCTAAGTTCATCAGCCAATCATTGACTACCTTTCAAGCAAAATCCACCAATCATAGACTAGAGCGTAAGTATTTACGTTCACTATGACCCCTATGAAAGTATGGCCCCTGTGGTCATTATGGACACGTGCGCTTACCTGGTCGGTATAAAACAGGGGTCGACCCTCCTGCAGCTGACCCCTGAACTTGTTGCAGATGGGGTTAACCCCCAAGTCTGGTCGGTTGTTGCCTACTCGCACTACTATTGTTGCCTCGCGATCACCTGAAAACGACTTTTATTGAGATCTATGTCGAGTCGCAGAAGGTAATCGTAATAAATCCAAGGCAAAATATGTAGACATTGTGAATATTCCTTAAAAGTAAACTAAATGAAACATCAGCATTCGGTAAAGAGATTAAACGTGTTTGTACAGTTGTGGTGGCAAGTACAGCTTTTGAATATCAACCGACATTATTTATTGTGATATTGGCTTCGTGTATAGGCGCTACTGGCCGCGGAACTATCAAGTATCTCTTTACCCGAGGCTAATAGCATAATAATTTGTCCTAGTCAGCGTTCGAAAGTTGCACTGGCCGTCACTGAAGTCCATATGACAAGCAATTTAAAGCAGGAATTTGAGTTTGAAAGTTGCACTGGCCGACACTGAGGTTGCATGTACAAACAAGCAATTTAACGATGAAATTTTAGGGTTAGTTCTGACCGCAGCAGTTCTGGCCGAAGTCGAGCCTGACGAGCTGCACCATGTAGGGCTCAAGGAGGTTGACGTACCACCACGGAGCCACCTCAGCTTCCGTCAGGGAACACGTCCTGTCAGAACATGAGCTCGTTAAATACAGAAATTTATCGCAGATTTTTCTTTGACTAGTATTTATGATGATAATTAAATTCGTCTGGCGACAATTTCAAAGTTGGCCAGCATGGTGGCCAACTTAAAATGATTAAAATGGCCAACTTAAAATGATTGCCCTATAATGTAGGACAGTTTAATGACAGCACACGTGACTACACCCGCGACTACACCCGTGACTACACCCATGACTGCTTCTGTGACAGCACCCGTGACAGCACCCGTGACAGCACCCGTGACTGCACCCATGACTACACCCGTGACTACTCCCGTGACTACACCCGTGACAACACCCGTGATAACATCCGTNACACCCGTGACTACACCCGTGACTACACCATTGACTACACCCGTGACTGCACCCGTGACTGCACCCGTGACTACACCCGTTACTGCACCCGTGACTACACCCGTGACATCACCCGTGACTACACTCACCCCGGGGTGAAGGCGGTCGCGGTGCTGCCGTCCACGGCCTTCTGAGGGATGCCGCCCTCAGCTACCGACGACTGCATGGGCGCCTTGCCGGCCGCGACGTTCAGCACTGCACGACAACAACCATCATTATTCTCTACAATTATAATTTTTTCTTTATTATTATTCTAATTCAATATCAATCAATCATAATTAGGTATCTAAATCATCAGCACTGCACGACAAGAACCATCGTTATTCGGTACAATTATTATTTATTCTTGATTATTATTCTGATTCACTATCAATCAATCATAATTAGGTAACTAAATCATCAGCATATACGACAAGAACCATTATTATTCTGTACAATTATTAATTATTCAAGATTTTTATTCTAATTCAGTATCAATCAATCATAATTAGGTAACTAAATCATCAGCATAAACGACAACAACCATCATTATTTTGTACAATTAATAATTTATTCTTGATTATTATTCTAATTCACTGTCAACCAATCATAATTAGATAACTAAATCATCATCATAATTATTGTCCCGTGGGAATACTTAATTATTACGAATTTTTTATATTTATATGCTGGTTTTGAAATTTTTCGAGATACCTGTTTTTGTTTTCATAAATGTATAACTTCAAGAATTCTGACATTTCTGTTCCTATTATTAAATTTTCCAGCACTTGCTGAGTATATTCCTTCACATGATAGTTTTCGTTTCAGCATGCAATGTTTGTGAAGAGTTTTATTGTTGAAGATAAATTTTTCTCTATACATAAATCTGTCTAGGTGAGAAATTCTTGATGAGAGAAAAGTTAAAAATTTGGTTTTGGATGAAAAGCGAAATGAAAAAAATAAACGTGGTTTTTTATTTGGTATTTTAAATTAAATTAAGGAAGAAAATGATTTATTTCGAAAATTTAATTTTCAGTTTCATTCCATATGAGCGATAGAAAAGATCTTCCTTCAGTCATTCATTCATTAAGAAAATATTAGCTGGATTTAGGATGATGGGATTGGAGATTCTAAAATTTCTGAAGATGTATATACCGGTGATATATTTCCAAAAATTTTGTTAATGAATAGTCATATATAGTTTTTTAAATATTCAAGTATCCCCGACGCTGCACGATGACCTTCACCATCACTTCACCACCACCACCGCAGCATCAGGCGCATGAGAGATGGTGAGCAATCGGGCCAGCGGGTCAGCTAACGGACGCACAGCCGTAATAACAGCGGCACAGCCGACACTGAAGTGAAATGACAAGAATGTCTTTTCAAATGTTGACTAAAATAAAAAAGAAAACACGGCTTCGTCAAAGAAAAGGCAGGAACAGATGACATCTGAAACAATCAAGCACCGGCAATAGAAAGCATGGCATTTAGACATTTTTCCAGAACTCTGTCACGAAATGTTAACATATGCAATGAATGCACCTACATAGCAGGGTTGTGATAAGATTTCTTCTCGCTTTCAGAGATTAGATTATTCGTCGGTATCGATGGCTATGATTCAATTGTAACTTTTAAGATATTTAAAATAAGTAATAAGTAATTATGAAATTTATGTCAAGAGTTTACCTCTGCCACATAATTGTTACCAACAATGCTTGGTTTTGCGTTCAAAAATTTATTTTCACTTTGAAAAGTTTACTTTTGGCTCCATTTCCAGGTATCAAGATTCCCGTGAAAAATGCTTATGTGAAGTGAAACGACCCTTCATTGCTGCTGGACTTCACAACATCCAAGAAAATAACTAATTACTACAGGACAAATTGCGTGGAAAAACTGAGAGAAAGTGAAGCGGGAGCGCTTCAGTGAATCTAACCGTAGGCAGATGCTGTTCAGCAGCACTTGAATCGTGAGCCGGAATCAGTCCTTTATTACTTATTACCTATTGCATCGTTCGACAAATGTAAAAACATAATAAAAAATAAAGGTATCAAATTTCTACAAACTAATAAAAAATGAATGAAATAGAATAATTAAGCACAAAAAATGTATGTACTCGTATAATACTGCTGTCGTGGAAAAATTAAAGTAGTTGAGAGTGTATCATTTCAATGAAATAAGACCAACGTCAGGTCACCGTTGAAACAAACTGAATGTCAATAACCAGCAAATAACCTTAAGATTCTTTGTTAAGGAATCCTCAGCTTCAATAATCCTGTCACGAAAATTAGGTACGAGTCCAAATCTTGGCGAACATAGATGCATGACGAAAAAAATCGCTATGAAAACAATTCAGTATATGAAAATACTGAATAAGCACAAGCGAATGGACTCTTTGTGATAACTTTATGGTCATTAAATAATTATAAGATATTTTTCATGAATTTTCTTCACTGTATAAGGCTCCAGATTGTGAAGACTTTCTTTCAAAGATTCAGCTTAATCACCAAAAATAAGATGTTCCAGCGTGCTTGGTTGTCAGCGCCGCCACCAGCAGCAGCAGTTTATAGAAGATCGAGTTCCTGAGACCGGCACGCGTGAGCAGCCAAGAGTGCAGCGCTGCTTTGCTTACTTCTTGCTCTGATGCTCCTACTGAAAACCTTATCCGGCTTATTGGTAGCATGCATGCTTCGCTCTTACAAGTGCGCTCCAGCATTTCTTCATTTACTTCTTCATTTCTTCTTCCTCTTCATTTACCCTGCACAACATTTCCTACACATTTATCTGCCGTGCACAGCATTTCCTACACATTTATTTACCATGCACCACATTTCATGCACATTTATTTACCCTGCACAACATTTCCACTACATTTATTTACCGTGCACAGCATTTTCTGCACATTTATTTACCGTGCACAACATTTGCTGCACTTTCATTTACCGAACACAACATTCAATACATTTTTATTTACCGAACACAACATTCAATGCCTTTTTCTTTTTATTTACCGTGCACAACATTTACTGCACTTTCATTTTTTATTCTACACTTTTATTTCCGGTGCAAAACATTCACTGCTCATTTATTTACAGTGCGCAACATTTCCCGTATTTTCATTTCTGCTCGCAATATTTTGTTAAATACATGTTACGGTACGCTGCAAATTATCCATTATTAATTACAGTGAACGATTAGACGTACTCTCTTTTTAGCGATAATCCTACAGCGTTAAGCATTACTAGGAGACGACTTTAATTAATGACCACCGGTGAACGTGAAATAAATTCATCACATAGACGCGTGAGGAAACGGTTCGTCGCGTCCATTTCAGCATATTTTTTATTTTTTTTCTTGTAGTCACGAACCGCGACACGAACGTGATGAGTTTCATTTAACCGTAGAATGTTGCGTTCTCTTTGCATAATTAGCTACGAAATTGAGCGAGTGCTCTAAATCTTGTTCATGTTTACGAATATAATTGCCCATTAAAATGATCACGTATACAGTTACGTGTCTCACGCCAGCTTTACGTTTACCTGAAGCGCACCTGAAAGCAATCCGTCGGTTTTACGTTTAACTGGAAGCAGTAATTCTGACGTCACGTTTTTCGGTTGACGTAAAGTCGTAAACAAATGACCGACGCACGGTGTCGTTATGCGAAAGTTTCACTTTCGTAGAGTAAAAGTATACCTTCGTAGTAGTAAAAAAGTGAGAAATATTTTTGACTTGATACTTTGAAACGCAAAAAAGTAATTGGGAGAACACAAGGCACGAGGGATAATTTTTTCGTCATAAGTAATGATTTTTTCGCATCATAGTAATGAGGAATAAAATAAATATACTTAACATATTTTAGAGAAATCCTATTTAACAAGTTTTCACGATACATATTTCTGGCAGGATATAGCCTGGTGTTGCCAGGGGCAGACAATATGAGAATATCGTAGTTCAAAATCCCGTCTTCCCGAATCCAGTCATCCAAAATTTGAAGGAAACCTGTGATTTTTGAGCTTCTGTTATTAATGAATGAAACGTACACTTGTCAATTATAAAATCACATGTCAATTTTCAAATATAACTCTCCACACTCCATTTTCTGTTTCGCGTTATAGTTCAACAATTGAGAATATAATTCTTATGTAATATCCCCATACGGAAGCCCGAACTGGTCCTTTATATTTCCGGTGTCAGGCATTAAACGCAAAAACAAACTTTAATAAACATACAAGTATAATTATAGGCTCCAAAGGATTGTTATGAAGCAACCAGTCTCTACTGTTCAGGGTTAATGCCCGTTCATCTCATCGTTATTGATCACGACAGTCCTCACCTTGAGTTTATAGTCTGTGAAAGGTCAGACCAAAAACCGGCTTTTGCAGTATCGAAGATCTGATATTTTAAATCAAGCCATCACGAAATCCGTTCCTTGAATCGATGCGTACGATCACTTTCACTGGTGTACTTTTCTGCGTGATTTTCTATCATCCCAAGAAAAAATATCATTTTTGTTAACCGCTGATCACGATTCTGGATGATTACATGAGGACCCGAATACTGCGTGCCGAATTGATTCTGATGATTTTGTGCAGCGTAATAAGATGGGAAAATAATTCAGGATGGTTCATTTTTTATTAATATTTCAGCGAGTCACAATAATTATCTTTCCTGTGACTTGCTATTGCTTAATTTTTATGAGCCTTATTAATAGGAACTTGAAAAGCAATGATAATAGATGGATACAGTAATAAATTATAGAGAGAATTTTTACCTCGACTAGAGATGCGACCGGTCAGTAATCACCGCGACAAAACAAGATAGGATGAAACACGGACTGCACGACAAGAAAATCTTCGAGGCAGCACCGGCTTTGTGGCACAAAGGCCCTGGAATTCAATGATCATCTCCACAGAAATGGAATTTAGGACTCGGAAGAAATGACAACACATTTCCGTAGACGCGGCTCACGTGGCGTCTTTGTTGCGTCGAGTAGAAATCTCGCCCATAACGCAATATGAGTGCCGAGTCATTAATACGGGGCCTGACGTTGACCCAGAACTTCCAAGTCATCCGTCTGGGATCTGAATTCGAAAGTTTGTGTATAACCAACACGACATCGTGATATCTTTGATTTACCATGCTGTACAAGTAGACCTTTATTGTAGCAATTTGTTATCAATATTTTCGGCCTTTTACTTCACGACGCTATACATGTA